GGCAATTCTCCTGCCTCAGCCTCCTGAGTAGCTGGGATTACAGGCATGCACCACCATGCCCAGCTAATTTTTTGTATTTTTAGTAGAGACGGGGTTTCACCATGTTGACCAGGATGGTCTTGATCTCTTGACCTCGTGATCCACCTGCCTTGGCCTCCCAAAGTGCTGGGATTACAGGCTTGAGCCACCGCGCCCGGCCTATTTCATTTATTTTTTAAAAAATGGGGTTTCACCATATTGGTCAGGCTGGTCTCGAACTCCTGACCTCAGGTGATCCGCCCACCTCAGCCTCCCAAAGTGCTGGGATTACAGGCATGAGCCACCGAGCCCAGCTTCCTCATCTTTTTAATGGGGAGATGACAGAGGATCATTGTGAGGTGTCAGTGAGATAAGGGGTATGAATCATAGTGCCTCGCATGTAGTTAGCATCTTAATAAATAAATGGTAGCTGTTTGTATTATAACTATTTTTTTTCTGTTCAGTGTTACTATTTTAATGTATATTTATATTTGTTTTAAAATTTAGTGAATTATTTTTTCTGCTCTTCCAGAGCTCCCCTGGGTGTGTTTTGGTCCTTATTCCTGGGCTGGGTCTGGTTGCAGCTGCTGGAAGTGCCTGATCCTAATGTCGCCCCTCACTATGCAGCCGGAGTGGTGCTGTTTGGTCTTTCGGCAGTGGTGGAGCTTCTAGGAGAGCCCTTTTGGTTCTTGGCACAAGCACATATGTTTGTGAAGCTCAAGGTCAGTGCGCCGTCTGCTGTAAATGGGAAATGGGAAGAATAAGAAGGAGCGTTGTTTTTAAAAAAATGCTTTTATAGGAGAGAATGATTTTTCCAAACTTGCACCTAAAAATGTGTTTAGAAAAAGGTAACATAATCAGTTAAGTTCAGCCACTTGAAATTTGTCAGGTAGGCTAGGCTAAAGTTCACCCGTTTTACCATAAATAAAAAACAGGTTTGCTAATAAATTATTAATTGAAGTCAGAATTTAGAAGGACCTTAAAGGCTTTTCATATTTTTCTAGTGATTTTATTTAGTTGCATACTAATACTAATTTTTCTCTCTGCATCTTTTATAATAGATTACAAAAGAATATATATAATGTAAATCTTAAAGCAGAGTGTACTGAAAGATCCATGAACCCACCACCCTACCCAAGAAGTGAAACATTACCAATACTTATTTCCAGCTATGTGCCCCGCCCCCCATAGCCAGGGTAACCACTGCCCTGGATTTTCTGTGTGTCATTCTATTACATCTTGACTTTTTGATAGTATTTGTAAAATGCACCTTGACCATGTTTGCAGGTGATTGCTGAGAGCCTGTCGATAATTCTTAAGAGTGTTCTGACAGTTTTTCTCGTACTATGGTTGCCTCACTGGGGGTTATACATTTTCTCTTTGGCCCAGGTAAGAATCTTGGATTTTATCTTTTTATATAATCTTTGTCTCTCCAACTGGTTTTTCTTCTTATTTCCAACACTGTGTGGTTTGCATTTACAGCACCCATGCCTGTGCAGGGGGTGGAAGCGCCGGAAGGGTGGCCTTGACACTGCTTCTCTGGCTGCCAGGTCCATCCTGTTCCACATTGAGACCATAGGTGTTTCTTGGAACCTGGTGAGGGCCACATGCTGGACTTCATTGTCAAACATAAAAACCTCTTTTAGACATTCAGTGGGCAAGCCTGTATCAAACTGATCTTTGGTCGTCTGATAGTCTTGTGAAGGGGAAAAGAAGCAGTGGGGGGTGGGGTGAGGATCACATTGCATGTGTATTATTTTCCCTGGATTTCCATCAGTTTTTTGCAGAATAGATGGAAACTCTGCCAAGCCTGTTTTAAACTTAGATTAAAATCTCCCATAATTCAGAGTTCATGAATCAAGTCAGAGTAGGTATATTTTCAGTTTTAGCAATTTAGGCTTAATTTCCATCTCATTATTTCCTAGTTCTCGTTCATATTTTTTTCTAGTTCTAATAAAAATACAACTAGAGTACAACTGCTATTTTTAAAAATGAAATTTAAGATCAGATCGTTACCAGACATCTTACAGTACAAAGCAGTTGTAGTTTTCATTAATGATTTTTCCAGACTTGCACCTAAAAATGTGTTTAGAAAAAGGTAACATAATCAGTTAAGTTCAGCCACTTGAAATTTTTCAGGTAGGCTAGGCTAAAGTTAAAGATAAATTAAGATTCTTAGTAGTGATTTAAGTCAAGGGTACTTCTCACAGAGGACACTGGCACCAAGTGGTGTGGCTCACAGCAGTGCTGCTGGAGTTTGAAGGGCTTGGAGCATGAAGAAAGAAGGCTGGTGGATGCTGGGCTCTGTCTCAGGCTTGGTGGGGAGTGGAGAGCAGAGGAGCCCACACCTACTAAACTGAGACTCTTCTTTCTCCTTGCCTGATGCCTTTACTACAGGAGCAGCCTTGGTATTGCCAGGTTGAAAGCAAGCTGGAGGTCCCAGTCTTTCTTGAACCAATGTGCACTGCTGTCAGGAGGGAAAGAGGGCTAAAGGGAGCTTGTGAAAAGGGGCTCTTTTGGATTTTCCTCCTCAATCTGCAAACAAAACTCATTTGGCTGCTCCTGGCCAGAAGCCATTCCTTTGTCCTGGGTGGGTGGAGGGAGGGGTGGGCCCTCTTATCACCCCACCCTTTCCTCCCCCATCTGTAGTAGCTCTGGGGAAGAGGAAAGAGCCAGCAGCGCAATTGTGCCTTGTAATCATTAAACAGGTTTCCGGGGTTTATGGAAAACCCACAGTCCTAGATTATGGCAAGTCCTCAGATATTAGCACAGTCAGGATACGTGGATCTTTGAAGTGTGCTGACTAGGTGGGAGAGCCGTTCATTTGGCCAAATACACATCTTTTGCGAATGTATTGGACATTGCTGTGGTAATTGAGCTAGTGGATATCTGTTATGGGAATTACATTCTGCCTGCCCAGAAGGATTATGTTTCCTCATTTAAGTGAAGTCTTGGGAGCACTTTGCAGGCAGATGCTGCGGTGGAGGTAAGTGAATAGTGCTGTTTCCCAGAGGGTGAGGCATTGCTGAATAGAAAGTGCAGTTAATCAGCTGGGCGAGGTGGTTTACACCTGTAATCCCAGCACTTTGGGAGGCCGAGGCAGGCGGATTGCCTGAGCTCAGGAGTTTTCGACCAGCCTGAGCAACATGGTGAAACCCTGTCTCTACTAAAAAAATACAAAAAATTAGCTGGGCTTGGTGGTGTGCACCTTGTAGTCCCAGCTACTCAGGAGGCTGAGGCAAGAGAATTGCTTGAACCCGAGAGGCAGAGGTTGCAGTGAGCCGAGATTGAGTCACTGCACTCCAGCCTGGGCGACAGAGCGAGACTCTGTCTCAAAAATAAAATAAAATGCTGTTAATCAGAGAGTTATATTACTGGATTGGCCTTTGATATCAAATTTATAGGCATATCTTAATTATGCCTTTATTAAAACAGTTTATTTTTTTATCAGCTTTTCTATACCACAGTTCTGGTGCTCTGCTATGTTATTTATTTCACAAAGTTACTGGGTTCCCCAGAATCAACCAAGCTTCAAACTCTTCCTGTCTCCAGAATAACAGATCTGTTACCCAATATTACAAGAAATGGGGTAAGTAATACATTTTATCTCTTATCATAGGTGCTGCTTATCCTCGAAAGAAAGAAACTGCAACTGGTTTATTATTATAATCATAAATATAATTTTATAGCTCATATTTATGGAGTGCTTGCTGTATGCCAGGCCAGGGTTTCTAAATCTTAGCACTGTGGACATTTTGGGCTTCTCAATTCTTTGTCGAAGTGGCTGTCCTGTGCATTGTAGGTTATTTAGCAGCAGCCTAGTGGGTAGATGCCAGTGGCAACCACCCCTCAGTGGAGCACCCCAAAATGTCTCCAGACATTGCCAAATGTCCCCTGGGGGACAAAATTGCCCCCAGTTGAGATCCGTTGTGCTAGACCCTATGCTGAATGCTTTACCTGCCTTATTTAATGCTTACACCAACTCTGAAAGGCTGACACTGTTTCTGTTTTAGAGTTGAGAAACTAAGGCTTAGTGAATAAAATACCTGTCCTAGGTGAGGGTCAGCATAAGGACAGGAGCCTGGAGGGGCTCACATGCCAGCAGAGTGCAGGCTGTACCACTGTGCTCCACTCTCTCTAGTCTGCTGTGTTTTGGTTTTTCTCCTCAGTTGACTTCTAGCACAGATAGTTGAGAGTTCTGAGAAAGTAGGATGAACCCAACATGGTCTTTTTTTTTTTTTTTTTGCATTGAGACAGTGTCTCATTCTATTGCGCAGAGTGGCATGATCATAGCTCACTACAGCCTTGACCTCCTGGGCTCAAGTGACCCTCCTTCCTCAATCTCCCAAGTAGCTGGGTCTACAGGTATGTGCCACCATGCTCAGCTAATTAAAAAAAATTTTTTTTTGAGAGAGAGGGTCTCACTATGTTGTCCAGGCTAGTGTTGAACTCCTGAGTTCAAGTAATCCTCCCACTTCGGCCTCCCAAAGTGCTGGGATTATTAGCCAACATGCCCGGCCCCACATGATCTCTTGATCTCAGTGTCAAGCTAGTCTTTCAGGTGATATACTTTTCCACCTAGACCACTGTGGATTCCACAGCTGACATGTGGAGTAAAGCATCATCTTTGCTGCTCAGTTCCTTCACTCTCAGGCCATTGAACTTTGATTTTCTGGCTCCTCTGGGGTCAGTGCTGCTGCCTATGCCACTGGAGTTGTACACATGATGATGTTACCACGTTGCCTCTACCAAGATGCTTCGTGAGCTCCTCTATTCTGGGCACTTCCCTTCTTTCCATGCTTGTTTGCTTGCCAGATGTAGTGCACTTGGCTGTGGTAAGGCATACGCTCGATTTCTCCTTATTTCTCTTGTGATACTTGAAAAAGTAGTGAAATATGTGAGACATAGGTCTCAGACTATACGGAATCCCGTTGTACAACTTTTCAAGAAAAACTAGATATTATGTATCAATGCCAGATATGTTCTCATTTGTGAGAAAAGGATTCTCCATCCTGCTCAGCTAAATTTCACCTGTAACCTAAACCAACAGGATAGTTTTGGATACCACTGTGCCTCACCTATAGGCTTAGATGGTTAGGACTCAGGATCGCTTCTCTTGCCTAGAGCTTCTGCCGCCTACCCCCAGAGCAGGTTCAAGAGTACGGAAGAGTTCTTCTTCCCCTGAGTGCCCCCTGGTGCCCACCTGTACCAAGCCTGGCAGCTTTTCATACTGCGCCTGTCCCTGTGCCCCAGCAGTATTTTGGGAAGGAGCATTTGAACCATTAGCATAAGCAAAGAGAGAAGTAAAGAGTCTGCCAAGTGTCTGTTAAGCTCTGTGGTGGCCAACCTGAGCAACATGGCAAGACTGTCTCTACAAAAAAAATTTTTTTTAATTAGTCGGGTGTGGTGGTGTGCACTTGTAGTCCCAGCTACTCAGGAGGCTGAGGTGGGAGGGTCGCTTGAGCCCAGGTTAAGGCTGCAGTGAGTCATGATTGTGCCACTGCACTTCAGCCTGGGCAACAGAGTGAGACCCTGTCTCAAATAAATAAATAAAACCTGTGATGGGCTCAGAACTCTAAGCTTAGTTTCCTTATCTGTCAAATGGGGATAATAATAGCACCTCCCTCCTAAGGTTGTTTTGAAGGCCCGATGAGCTGGGACATGTAGTCTTAACAATGTGGCCTGGCACAAGTGGGTGTCCTTAAGTGACAGCAGATACCACCTCCATCACACTGATGCTTTGAGAGCAGAGCTGCCTCCACAGGGGCACCCTAGCCAGGCAGCGCTGATAGCATTGGTGTGGGAGCTCAGCGGTTCGGTCTGGTAATGTGCCCTGAAAGCACCGATGCCCAGACTGCAAGGACCCAAGCCCTGATCATGAGAAGGCTGTGTGTACCTGTCGTATTACCGCTGATATACAGTAAGAAAGTGGCGCCGTGCTTGATGCCATCGGGGATACAGACATGTAGGAGAGGTGATTCCTGGGCCTCAGGGAGCTTCCTGTGGGCTTGAGAGGCAGCAGGTATAGCTCTGAAGCCTGTGGGACTCTCCCCAGACCTCAGAGTCTTCATTTTTAAAGTGAGATTGTTGGTCTACGTGACCTGTGAGGCCCCCCGAAGACTTCAGGAGTTAAAGTGTTTGAGCCTTGACAGAGAGCCATTTAAAATAACTGCTATTGACTGCATGTTTTGTGCCGTGCACTACACCAAGCACTTTACATGGATTTTGTGTTTCATTCTCATAGTAATGTAGGAGATGAATACTGTTATCTCCATTTTGCAGATAAGAAAACTGAGGTTCAGAGGAGTTAAGTGACTAACCGAAAATCACATAGCTGGTTTTGGACCCACTTCTCTCCGCCTTTTGTTGGGGACTAGCTTTAGGCTATGGTTTACCCTGATGTTATGTAGTCTTCCAAAAGAAATTGGCTTATTGCCCATAGTAGTTACTGTTTACATAAAGATTAGGAAGTTCCAGGTGCAACAATTCATAATTCAGGCTTATGATTTTTTTTTTTTTTTTGAGATGGAGTTTTGCTCTTGTTACCCAGGACCAGGATGGTCCCGATCTCTTGACCTTGTGATCCACCCGCCTCGGTCTCCCAAAGTGCTGGAATTACAGGTGTGAGCCACCACACCCGGCCCCGATTCAGGGTTATTATTTTAAAAAGAAAAAAAGAAGCCGGTGTGGTGGCTCAAGCCTGTAATCTCAGCACTTTGGGAGACTGAAGTGGGAGGATTGCTTGAGCCCAGGAGTTTGAGACCAGCCTGGGAAACCTGGTAAGAACCCCTCTCTACAAAAAAATGTAAAAATTAGCTGGGCACAGTGGCACATGCCTGTGATCCTAGCTACTCAGGCTGAGGCAGGAGGGATCACTTGAGCCCTAGAGGTCGAGGCCGCAGTAAGCTGTTCATGCCACTGCCCTTTAGTCTGGGCGACAGAGTGAAACCCTGTCTTGGAAAAAAAAAAATGAAAAATGAGAAAAAGTAAAAGAAATGAGATGATTCTGAATGCATGAATGCAGTGTATGACTTTACCGTGGGCAGCGTGCCTGACTTGGCTCCCCGGAACAGCTTTCTACACTGGGGACTCCCTTAGTGGAAACTGGTCAAATAATTGTATTTACTATCAATTTGACCTAATTGTGAGATTTCCCTTCCTGTTCTTGTAGAATTCCATCTTCTTTATTTAACCTTATAACAAATTAATGATACTTCAAATAATGGCTTGCGTTTATATTCATTGACATTTCTGAGGGATTTAATATGAGAGCTATGCTAATATTTAAGTAAAGCTGAGGAATTTGGCTCAGCAAGCATGGATTAAGCATTATTATATGTTAAGCACTGTACCAGGTGCCCTGAGTGAGGCCCCTACCCTCAGAACTTGCATGCTGATGAACGGATAGGATGCTTGCTCAACTAACTATGCTACAGGACACTGTGTGTCTAGTGTTATCAAAATAGAAGCACAGAGGAGGGACTGCTGAATTCCATCTAGGAACATCAAGGAAGGCTTCATGGAGGAAGCTTCTTTTATGTAGACTTTGACACATGGGTGGGCAGAGGTTAAATGGATATGGGTGGTGGAGACGGGCATTCATGACCAGAGAAAGAAAGAAAAGTTGCTCAGTGCTTGTTATCTGCCCATCATTGTGTTGGATAACTGGGGTACTTAGGTTGGCTGGACAATTGGGAAAAGGAAAGGAAAGGTGGCAGAAAGTTATGAAGGGAGGTAAACCCGACTGCCAGGCTAGGGTCAGGTGGTGGTGGCCTCATGCTGTGGAGCCTGGGCTTCATTCAGGGGCAGTGGAGCCAAATGAAAGGATTTGGTTTTTTTTTCTCTGATCACCCCCTAACCATGAAAGGTTTTTGAACAGCACCATGATCGAACTTCCTGTATTGAGGAGCTTGCCATCTCTTACAGAGTTATAGTGTCTCATTTTTTTGTTTTCATTCAATCCTCACACTGGCTCCATGAGATAGGACTTCTTATCCCATGTTGCAGATGAGAAAACCAAGGCTTAGCAAGGTTAAATATCTTGTCCCCAGCATTTACCCTAATAAGTCAAGGAGCTGCAGGTTGAGCCCCAGTCTCCAAGCTTGACTCCAAAGCCTGAACCTGCAATGAGACAGATAGGCTAGAGAAAGAGTAGGAGGCAAAAAAGCTCATTGGGAGCCTGTGCAATTGTCCAGGTGAGGAGTGAGGACAGAGGAAGGATGGATGAAAGTGGGAGGATGGACAAAGCTGGGGCAGCGTCGACAGCCCCAGAGTGACTAGGATAAGTGGAGCGGGAGGGAGAGGAAGGAGTGCTGCCTAGGGTGGAGGAGGTGATGGAGGGCAGGGGACAGGATGGTTGGTAGCCTCACACTCCCCAGTGACTGTTGTCATTGCGGTAAGGATGTGGCTGATCAGATCATCCTGAGTCAGAAGGGTTTGGGAAGTTGATGAGTGACTCAGGTGGAAGTGTGATGAGCCTCTAAGTTCTGATTCCAGACCTTCCCCCCGAGTTACCATCCATCACCTTTACCACCCCAGCCTTCTGTTTCTCCGCTTATTGGTCAGGGCATTCCAGGGAAATTCCCAGCTATGTAGATCAGCTCATCAGTACCAACCCAGCTATTGTGAAATAGGCCTCTTTTGATCGCCCCAAATGACACCTCCATTATTAACCTCCATTCTGAGTAGAATGGTAAAACTCTACCACATGCTTCCTCTCTCCCACCACTCAGCCCCTGCCTGGAGAAGCCACATCTCAGATTGGATTTCCTGCCTCTGTGTCCTTAATGAGCACTTTAGTAAGTGGTGTGGCCATTCCTTCTGAACCACAGGCCCATTTAAACCAAAGGCATTAAGAAAATCAAGTATGATCTCTCAGATTAGGTACACCATCATAATTTCACTCTCCCAAAGCACTTTGTCTTTTAAGATCTCAACCATCTTCCCAAATCCATTCACAACCTGCAGGCAAGCAGGTGTCAAGGGAGACTCATGACAAGCAGCAGCCTTTGTTTCCTTTTAAAACAGGACAGGTCCTGCTTTGCTGACCCCTGGGAGGACCACCGCAGCATGGGAAGGGGTGGGGAGCAGTGTGAGTGAGAGAAGGTGCTGAAGCCGGCTGTGGCCAGAATCCGAGTCTGAAGATGACATGGTCCCCTGTGCCCCCTAGTGGTGGGAAATTGTCTGCTGCTCTTTGTTCCAGGGAAAGGAGATGGCCTGGTTTTAAACATCTTGCAGCTCAATTTCCTTCTCATCAGGGAAGATTTACTCCTGGGCTAAAGAGATATCCTGGCATCTGCTCTGAGTCTCTGATTCCCTGAGGGCAGCGTAGTTTGGGAGGATTCAGATTTGTGCTCCCTGTGTCTGGAGAAAATGTCCAGAAACCAAGGGGTAAGGAGAATGGGGACTAGAAGTGACCCTTGCTTTCAGAGGTGCTCTAGACTTGCCCTGTTCTAAATGTTAGCCACCAGCCACATGTGGCTATAGAGCATTCTGGAATCTGGATAGTCTGAATTGAGATGAGCCGTAAATACAAAATACATATTGGATTTCAAAGTCTCAATATGAAAAAAATAGTTCTTATATGGATTACTTGTTGAAATGATAATATTTTAGATAAATATATTAAAATTAATTTCACCTGTGTTTTTTTCCTGTGCACTGTGGCTGCTAGAAAATTTCACATTACATCCCTACTGAACAGCATTGCTCTTCATAGATGGGCTTTGTGCCCAGAACGGGCCCACATGACCGAGGCAGCCTTCAGGCCTGCCCTTGAGAGCTGTGGCTGACCTTTTGGAGAGGTAGAGTGCGCCTTTGTGATTTAGCCCTCCCCTCCCAAAAAGCCCTCTGAAATCCTACCATTCAAAAGTCTTCACTTTAGATAATCACAGCTTTTCAAAATGCAAGTACCCTAGGATTAAGAACCTAACATCAGCAAGGAGTGATGGCCCACACCCATAATCCCAGTACTTTGGGAGCCAAGGTGGGAGGATCGCTTCAGGCCAGGAGTTTGAGACAAGCCTGGGCAATGCAGCAAGACACTTATCTCTACAGCAGTTTTTAAAATGAGTTGGGCATGGTGGCACACACCTGTAGTCCCAGCTATTCTGGAGGCTGAGGCGGGAAGATGGCTTGAGCCCAGGAGTTTGAGGTTATAGTGAGCTATGATCACACCACTGCATTCCAGTCTGGGTGATAGAGCGAGACCCTGTTCCTAAAACAAACAAAACAAAAAAATGTAACACCCAGTCTAAATATTCTGGAATCCCAGGGTGCCTGCAAGATAGAGGAGGGGGCCCCAGAGGATACTGAGCCCCCTGGCTGCCTTGTTCTCCTGTTTTGTGTTCAGCTCCCTGGCTTTGAGGCTACCTGTCTCTTACAGGTTGATCTCTGCCCTACCTAACTGTTTCCTTGTTCTTAGAAAATGGCCATTTGGTGCCCGATGGAAGATAGATCTATCTATCTATCTATCTTTCTGTCTATCTTTGAGCCAAATTCTTGCTCTGTCGCCAGGCTGAAGTACAGTGGTGCCATCTCAGCTCACTGCAACCTCCGCCTTCCGGGTTCAAGTGATTCCTGTGCCTCAGCCCCCCAAGTAGCTGGGATTACAGACACGTACCATCACACCCAGCTAATTTTTGTATTTTTAGTAGAGATGGGGTCTTTCCCGTGTTGGCCAGGCTGGTCTCAAGCTCCCGGCTCAAGCGATCCACCCACCTCGGCCTCCCAAAGTATTGGGATCACAGGTGTGAGCCACCATGCCCGGCCTGGAGTTTTAGAAGAGTCATATCAGAAATTTTGTCTTCTCCATTCCTCTGTCATATCCATTCTGAGTGATTTACCTGACCTGGGAAAGTTAATTTTTTTTTTAAATATGGAAGGGCAGCTCCTCTTCCCTTGTGGAAAAGGGCCCTGGATGGCTGAATGGCTGAACATAGCATTATGTTGTGCAGTAAATGGAGCAGAATTTGTTCTGCAGCTCAGCATGCTTTAGACAGTTTTTAAGGAAAGAACAGGCTGTGAGCTGTATGTGTTAGCTGTGGGACAGCAGCAGTTCTTTAGGGGTGTCAGTATATGAGTCTTGGGCAGGCACTTACAGAATTTGGCTTTGTGTTTAGTAATGTAAATTCTTCGCCAGTGTTTGTGGGATGCCTTCTGTGTGCTTAGCATTGAATGAGGGTTCAGTGGAGACTATCCAGGTTGGGATTTAGGGACCAGAATGCCTTTGCCTCTCATGTAGCATTGCATTCTTACACTTGCAATGCCTGTGATGTTTTTGTTTTGTTTTGTTTTGTTTTCTGTTCTAGGCTTTTATAAACTGGAAAGAGGCTAAACTGACTTGGAGTTTTTTCAAACAGTCCTTCTTGAAACAGATTTTGACAGAAGGTAAGTACAAGGACACTCTGAATGGTCAGGAGACCATAGTAGAAGGAGATTTCACAGGACTGCCGATTACCTGGGTCCAGACCACAGAGCCTCTGGGGCAGAAGAACTTCAGAAATGGGAGGATGGGGCTAAATCAGAGAGAGAAACCAACCTCTATTTAGTTTTATGCTTTGCTTAGGTTGTCTAATTTAAATCTCTCCATAGCCTTGTAAGAAAGATGTTGTTTCCCTTCATCATGGATGAGGAAACTGAGGGTCAGTGAGGTTGCAGAACTTCTTCAGGGTTTTACAGTAACAAGGAACAGCTTAACCAGGATCCAGGTCTAACTCCAAACCCCATGTTATGATTCTTATGAATTTATTATAAAAGTATTAGTTACATAAAAGTATTTTATATTATCATTTTATATCATTCACTTATTTTATTTTCTTCTTTTTAAAATTATGTCAATTCTCTAATGTTGGATTTATTTTCTTAAACAACAAAATGCACCCGTTTGAGAGTACGGTCAGACTTCGGCCCTTCCAGTTTACCAGTGGCAGAGCTCTCGATGTGGAGGGCCAGCAAGGGGCTGGAAGGACATTTAGTTTTTGTGTATATATGTGTGTTGGTTTATTTGTACCTAGCTTTAATTTAAAAAATGAGATTTTAAGGCAGCTATAAGTTGCTGAAGGTAGTAGTTTCTGCATACACATTTCATATTCATATGCCTATTACTGAATATATTTTTTAATCTTTTCAAAAATTATCTTTTAATTATCAAATATAGTCTCATTAGAAAAAATAAGAAAACAGAAAAAATAATACCAGCATTTTAATACAACTGTTATTATCTTAGCTCACTGCAACCTTCACCTCCTAGATTCAAGCAGTTCTCCTGTCTCAGCCTCCTGTGTAGCTGGGACTACAGGCATGCACCACTATGCCTGGCTAATTTTTGTATTTTTAGTAGAGACAGGGTTTTACCTTGTTGGTCAGGCTGGTCGGGAACTCCTAACCTCAGGTGATCCACCCGCCTCAGCCTCCCAAAGTGCTAGGATTACAGACAGCGCCCGGCCTCTATCTGTATCTTTGTTCATTATGTCTCCAAAGGAAAGCAACTCCCCCTACACCTCTCTTTCCCCGTCTGTGAACAAGGGATAGGACCAGGCAGTGTCTGAGGGCTCTCTGATCTTTGAAAGTACACACATGTTTCTAGCGTAAGCTTATAACTTTGCTATTACAAAAATGAAACTGTTCTGAGGACTTCTCAGGGAAGGGAGGGTCAGAAGTCTCAGGAGAGCTGAGTGAAGGGCCTGAGCGCTTAGTTCCTGAGGAGCAGGGAGTGTGCTGTCACCACTGCCCTGCTGTGACCTGGCATAGGAGGGCTATTCAGCATGTATTTGTGAATGAAGTAAGACAAGCCACAAGGTAACTGTTGTGAAATGGTGTATGATGACAGTTCAGGTTGTTGTAAGAACAGGACAATCAGTGGAGAGAGTTTTGGAAAGGACAGTTGCTCATATGCACTTTTTTTTCTTCCAGTGTTTTAAGAGCAGTTTTAATGAGTTTGAGGGAATGGATCCAGTCCAAGTAATGGCCTAAATTGGTTTTCTGGATTGCAGACAACACATCTCTAGACATGTCTTTGCAGCAGCAGGTTTAAGTTTACTGCAAGCTAAAGCCTCCAGAACTCCACCTGACTGCAGTGCCAGGAGCCTGCTCCATGGTTGGACCTCCTAGCCTGGCTCCCTCTGACTGGCAGAGGGCCATTAGGAACTTCTCAGAGCCTCCATCTCCATGGCTGTGAAATAAGGAAGTTGCCTGACTGAGATTCTAAGATTCTTTATATTTTTAAAACTGCAGCTCTAAAAAAGTTGAAATGCCCTGGGTTTTTTGTTTGTTTTGTTTTTTTTGTTTTTGTAGACAGGGTCTCACTCTGTCACCCACGCTGGAATGCAGTGGTACAAACACAGCTTACTGCAGCCTTGACCTCTTGGGCTCAAGTGATCCTCCCACCTCAGCCTCCCAAGTAGCTGGTACTACAGGCAAGGCATCTGCCATAATGCCTAGCTAATATTTTGATTTTTTTGTAGAGGCAGGGTCTTATGATGTTGCCCAGGCTGGTCTTGAACTCCTGGACTCAAGCAATCCTCCTGCCTTGGCCTCTCAAAGTTTGGGATTATAGGCATGAGCCACTGAGCTCACTTTTTGTAGTAGCAAAAATGTATATGCTGTTACTTCTGCCCCCACATTTCCTGAACACTATACCAGGTGCTGAGAATCCAGAGATGAATAAGTAACATGCTGTGGCCTCAAGCATTTCATTCTCTCACCAAAGACACGTTCGTCTGGTTAACTGATACTGGGCTGTGAGGGGTGTAGTACTTGGAAACTCATTTCCTAGAGCTTTGCTAGGAAAGCAGGGGCATAGAGATGACTGAGAGGGGCTCCTACCCTCAGGAAGTTTATACAGTGTAGGAAGGAGAGGTCCATTCTGCCAAAAGACAGGGAGGGCCCTGCAGAAAAGACACTCTAGATGGTGAGAATGCCAAGAGCCAAGGCAGGCCCAGCCTGACTCAAAGCAGCTGGAGGGCTAAAACCTGGGAGGTAGGGTGCAGCAGAAGATGACAGGGTGATGAGGGTGAGGTTGATGAAGGGAGTCCAAAATGATAGCTTGGGGTCAGTGTGTAAAAGCCCTCAAAATGATAGCTTGGAGTTAGTGTATAAAAGAATTAAGGAGCCTGGACTTTTTGAAAACCCTAGGAGCCATTGTGGCTCACACCTGTATCCCAGCATTTTGGGAGGCCGATGTGGGTGGATCACCCGAGGTCAGGAGTTGGAGACCAGCCTGGCTAATATGGCGAAACCCCATCTCTGCTAAAAATACAAAAATTAGCTGGTCATGGTGGCAGGCACTTGTAATTCCAGCTACATGGGAGCCTGAGGCGGGAGAATCATTTGAACCTGGGAGGCGGAGGCTGCAGTGAGCCAAGATTGCACCGTTGCATTCCAGCTTGGCTGATGAGCGAAACTCTGTCTCAAAAAAAGAAAAGATCCATTATGAAAGCAGGCTGGGCACGGTAGCTAACACCTGTAATCCCAGCACTTTGGGAGGCCGAGGCAGGTGGATCACTTGACGTCAGGCCAACATGGCGAAACCCCATTTCCACTAAAAAATTTTTTAAATTAGCTGGGCATGGTGGTGGGTGCCTGTAATCTCAGCTACTCGGAAGGCTGAGGCAGGACAATCAATTGAACTCAGGAAGCAGAAGTTGTAGTGAACGACATCGTGCCACTGCACTCCAGCCTGGGCAACAGGCTCTGTCTCAAAAAAAAAAAAAAAAAAAAAAAAAAGATATGAAAGCAGAGACTGATTTAAGAGCTGTATTTTAAGCTCGGCGTGGTGGCTCACAACTGTAATCCTAGAACTTTGGGAGGCCAAGGCAAGCGAATCCCTTGAAGTCAGGAGGCTGAGGCAAGAGAATCTCTTAAGCCCGGCAGGCGGCGGTTGCAGTGAGCCAAGATCGTGCCACTGCACTCTAGTCTGGGCGACAGAGCAAGACTGACTCTCAAAAAAAAAAAAAAAAAAAGATATGAAAGCAGAAACTGATTTAAGAGCTGTATTTGAGGCAGGGCATGGTGGCTTATACCTGTAATCATGGTACTTTGGGAGGCCAAGGCAGGCAAATCACTTGAGGTCAGGAGTTCAAAACCAGCCTGGCCAACATGGTGAAACCCCATCTCTACTAAAAATATAAAAAAAAAAAAAAAAATTAGCCAGGCATGCTGGTGGGCACCTGTAATCCCAGCTACTCAGGAGGCTGAGGCTGGAGAATCTCTTAGGCCCAGGAGGCAGAGGTTGCAGTCAGTCGAGATCATATCATTGCACTCCAGCCTGGGAGACAGAGTGAGACTCCGTCTCAAAATAAAAAAAAGAAAGAAAGAAAACTGTATTTGCAGAAGCTGGAGCTGTTATCAGTGAGGGTGGATCCGAGCAGCACAGAGACACAGGCCTGTGAGGACCTGCAGAGGTCCCACCATAAACAGTGGCAGGGGCTTGGAGAGAGAGGCAGGGTGGGAGAGAGTCTTGAGAGAGCTCACTGCTTCCAGCCTCTTGCTGCTTTCCTTTTGAGCAAGTTACTAGGCGGTGAGAATTTGCCCTTCAGGGCGTGGGCAGTTTAGTGCTCCTTTTCCACAGTGGTCAACATTTTTTCCTCATAGATGAGAAACTTCTATGATGAGCCAGGGGGATGGGAGCCCTGGCTGGTGTCTTCACCTTGAAGGCATTAGACTATCTTAGATTTGAATCAAGCCTGAGTTCATGATTCAAATCTAAGATAGTCTGATGCCTTGCCAGCCCCAGGGAGCTCTTTACACCCCTGAGGAACCTTTGGATAAACTTGTGCATATAATCATGGACACTTTACAGATAATTTATGCTCAGATTATCTGACCTCCCCTTAAAACATGGGACCATCATTTTCATTATTAAAATTTAATTATCTCCACATTCTTTTTTAAAACATTTTTAGACTTGTTTTATTACTATTTTTTATTTTTAATTTAACGGGCTTGGAGATTTGCTGTCAATAAAGTCCTCAGCACTTTCCACATTGTTACTTTGAGATTATTTGAAATCAACATTAGGACAAGGACATGTCTTTAAGTGTTATCTAACATTTCTCTATTTGTCAGCTGGAAAAGTTGATAGCTGATAAGAGAAAGAAAACAATACATTAATGTGTATTTGACATGCTAATTATTTTGCTTTTTTGTTTATAGGGGAGCGATATGTGATGACATTTTTGAACGTATTAAATTTTGGTGATCAGGGTAAGATGAAATTCTGTTTATAATAGTGTTTTAATTAAAAGTGAATACTATTAATAGGTGCTTCCTAATATTTTTCTCGGATATATTTAATGAAAGATGAACCTGAAGATTAAAGAAAATTCTAAAGACTGTAAATCGTAGTTCTTCGTACTGACTATACCCTCCAATGTGACTTTGGTGGCAGGTGTTCTGGTGCAACCCTGGCCCTTTAGTTCGCCCCTGAGAGCTCTGGTGGTCATTTTGGGGGTGGAAGGTGACAAGAGAGGAGAAAAGGGAGCTCACTGTCTCACAGCCTCAATCTGTCCCATGTTTATGTAGCTAGATAGTCTTTCAGTATTTTTATATTTATCTTTTAATATAATCCCAAAGTAACGGAAATAAAATAGAAAAACATCAACTTTGCATTAATGACCTATACAAGAAAATACTGTTGATAGAAGCATTCTGTGTCTTGACTGTATCAATGTTGGTATCCTGGTTGTGATATTGTACTATAGTTTTACACAGTGTTACCATTGGGTAAAGGGTATGTGGGATCCCTCTATTACTTCCATTTTTTTTCTTTCTTTCTTCCTTTACTTATTTATTTATTTTTGAGACAGTGTCTCACTCTTTTGCCCAGGCTAGAGTGCAATGGTACCATTACAACTCACTGCAGCCTCAACCTCCTGGGCTTAGGTGATCCTCCCACCTCAGCCTCCTGAATAACCGGGATTATAAATGCACATCGGAATGCCTGGCTAATTTTTTCTGTTTTTGTAGAGACAGCATTTCTCTATGTTGTCCAGGCTCATCTCAAACTCCTGGGCTCAAGTAGTCTGCCCACTCTGGCTTCCCAAAGTGCTGGGATTATAGACATGCCCGGCCACTATTACTTTTTGTAAATCTGTATGAATCTATAATTATCTCAAGATAAATAAGCTGTAATGAAAATATTAAATAAACAATTTTAATAGTGCTGTGAAAATTAAAGTAGAAAAAACAACATGATTGTTGTTTCTTCCTTTTCGTTTTGTAGGCGTGTATGATATAGTGAATAATCTTGGCTCCCTCGTGGCCAGATTAATTTTCCAGCCAATAGAGGAAAGTTTTTATGTGTTTTTTGCTAAGGTGCTGGAGAGGGAAAAGGATGCCACACTTCAGAAGCAGGTAATGTTGGTTCTTATGTCATCTCTCAAGTTAATTCTGCCTTTAATTGCAAGACAGGCAGACAGGAATGTGAAGCAGTCTGTTTCTCTTCTGTTTGATCAGGAATTTTCTTATAGATTTCATTCTTCTCTGACATTCTGTATGATAGTGGGACCCGGGACTCCCCTCTTCATTCGTGGCCTTCTCCCTTTGCTCTTGGCTGTGCCTTCTTCTCACTCCTTTGTTATTCTTTGTGACTTTACTCTTTTTTTTTTTTTTTTTTTTTTTGAGATGGAATTTTGCCCTGTCGCTCAGGTTGGAGTTTAGTGGCGCCACCTTGGCTCACTTTAACTTCTGCCTCCTGGGTTCAAATGATTCTCCTGCCTCAGCCTCCCAAGTAGCTGGAACTATAGGCATGTGCCACCATACCCAGCTAATTTTTGTATTTTTAGTAGAGAGGGGGTTTTGCCATGTTGGGCAAGCTGGTCTCAAACTCCTGACCTCAGGCAGTCTGCCCACCGCAGCCTCCCAAAGTGCTAGGATTACAGTCGTGAGCCACCATGCCCAGCCATGTGACCTTACTCTTGATCCAGCCCCCTCAGGACTGTCTAAAGCTGTCCCCAGAGCCCTGCAGACACCCAGCCATGGGCTAGTCTTAGACATAAGAATGAGGTTGCCTCTCCTGTCCTCAGAGTCTCAAGAGCCAAAGGATGCAGAAGTTGGAGCCAGGCTAATCGTGGGCAGAGGGAGGAGAGGATGTCATTGTTGGGTTTCACTCACCACACCAGTTGTTTTAACTTCTTACTACTGGGACATGCTCAGCTACACTCTTTGACTGTGAGATTCTATATACTCGGGCTGGTAGATACAGAAGAGGAGACTTTAATCTAGGAGTATTTGGTCTAGGAGCTTCACTTTTTCCAAAGCCACTGAAAATGTCTGACTTTTCTTAGAATAAAAAGCTAGTTCAGCTTCTTGCATGTCTTAGAAGATATTTAGTAAAATACAGTTTATGCACAATATCTCAAAATGAGCTAATCTGGTACTCAGTCTGATTTAGGAATATTTTCCCAAGAGTACATTGACAGTAACATCAGAATTTTGGGATGTTTAGCAGGAGAAGCACAGAGCTGGCTAGCATATAGGAAAACTTGCTGCACATTTAAGAATAAATATTAGTGGCCTGGTGCAGTGGCTCATTCCTGTCATCCTCATGCTTTAGGAGACCAAGGCCAGATGATTGCTTGAGGCCAGGAGTTTGAGATCAGCCTGGTCAACATAGTGAGACACCCTCCTCTATTTCTGTTTTTTTTTTAAAAATAATAAATATCAGAGGGGAAAGTCAGTGTTTCCTAAGCAATATTTGGAACAATTTGTCCCACGTGAATTGAAAACTAACCCTCTCCTTTACCAGCTAAGGAGACACACACTTTTTCCTTCATTTGCTAATTGACATGAAAACAAACACACTACCAAAAAAGCAGTGATATCCATCACCCTTTTGGAAGAGTGAACTGTAAAGCAGTGAGGGAAGAAGGCCAGAGATGAAGGGTGAAGGTTTTCTTCAGCTCATGATTCATCCAACTTCCTTCCCTCTCCCCCTGTCCCCAGGAGGATGTTGCTGTGGCCGCTGCAGTCTTGGAGTCCCTGCTCAAGCTGGCGCTGCTGTCCGGCCTGACCATCACTGTTTTTGGCTTTGCCTATTCTCAGCTGGCTCTGGATATCTATGGAGGGGCCATGCTTAGCTCAGGATCAGGTACGCACAAGAGTTTTTCTGAATTTGTTCTGATTTCCCAACAAATAGAAGAGTCATGAAATTCAAGAACTTGGGCACACACAGTTGAAAACTGTGACAATGTAGGGAAAACTGGTGGCAGGGGCTGTGGGACTGTTCCCCCATTCAAGTTCAGACACACACTCAAGGTATAGGCAGGGGCGTTGGTGCCGGGGTGATCAGCTTCCTCAGCCTCACTTGGAGAAGTTATTAGGACTCCTCCTTGCTGTTGGCTTTCCTCTTGGGCCTAGAATATGTTTTGCCAAGCGCTTCCTGTACTCCCTCTGGGGTGAGGGAGGAAGGCAGAGGGCAGGCGGTAATGAGTCTCCGCTTGATACTAAACACATTTGAAGATAGTAAATGCCACATAAATCTCTCAGCCTGGTGCATAAAAGCCTCTGAAGGATAACCCAGAGCCATTTGCAGCAAATAAAATTGATCTCTGCAAATAAAATGGTATATTTAATCCAGACTCTCGGTTTTTGAAGAAGAAAAGTATTGAATGTGTCTAATTTTGAAACACCAGGCCGCTGAGCATCTCACAGCACTTGTTAGGCCGTGGGGACTTCACCAGTTTTAAAATGCTCTGGGCTGTAAGCTGGCAGTCCATTTGTAGTGTTTCATGTTGGGTTTGGCAAAGATGTTTTTAATTTCTCAGGTCACTGGACAGGAACCCTGAGGACTTCTTTCTGCTGCCCCATCTCAATATAAAGGGCTTTGTCAGATGCCATTTTACAAGTTCACTAGGATGTTTTAGTCTCCACTGTAATGGGGCCCAAACTTTTGGTGTTAGGGGAAGAAGGGCCAAGCTTATATACCAGAGCAAAGGTCATTAAGTTTGGAGAAACACCTGCTGTGAAACAAATGAAGGGGTTTGCAGCTCCCTGGGGCTTGTGCTGTGAGAACATTTCCATCAGGCAGCTGCAGGGAGGCCTCATTAGGAAGGCATTAGTAAGTTTATGGGCAGAGATTGGGAACTCAACTATGCTATAGCAGCTCTGCCCCCTTAGAAAGCAATCACAGAGGAGCCGCCTTTAATGTCACAGTCACAGGCGTTGCCACAAGGAGGGGGCTGTCCCATCTTTATCATGACTTAGCGCCATCATCTTAGTTTTGAAAGTGGAACTTGCAACACTGCCACCCCAGTTGTCCCCAGTTGTGCACTTGTCTGTCTTCACCCTGGAAATGGACTTAACTGTGAGCTGTACCGGCCGTCTCCAAATGAGTGACTCAGACACAGCAGACAGGCCTTTGTCTAGGGGTGTGGCTTCTCTTCTATTGTTTGGGATTAGCAGTGTATTTCATTAGGGGCTTTCTAAGTGTTCTGGAGGCTTTTCTTAAAAATCCTTCTCACACCTAGCTTTGCTTTTTCTTTTCTTTTTTTCTTGATAACTCACAGAACAAAACCTAGCTTTTCTGTCCTTAAGAAAAACCCAGACATTCACAGAATTTCCCCAAGATTTCTCACATTTCTCTCTTAGGTGCTTCTCTCTTGCCCCTCTACTTTTTACTTTTTCCTTCTCTATTCCCTTGTCTTAGTTATTTATCCCCTTGACTTAACTAAGACATGTTAACATGTTAGGGCTTAGTTAATTAGGTACTTTGCCATGACAAAGTACCATGGACTGGGTGGCTTTAAACAGCAGAACATATTGTCCGCCAATTCTGGGTGCCAAGAGTGAACAATCAAGCGATGGCCAGGGCCGTGTTCTCTCTGAAGGTTCGATGGGGGGCCCCTTCCTGCCTCCTCTAGTTTCTAGTGGTTGCTGGCATCCTGGCGTTCCTTGACTTGCAGCTGCAGCACTGTGGTCACACAGCTGTGTTCTCTCTGTCTTCACGTCATCATCCCCCTGCGCATGTCTGCCTCAGCGTGCAAGTTTCCCCTAACTTTTTGTTTTTTGAGATGGAGTCTCACTGTTGCCCAGGCTGGAGTATGGCGACGCAATTTTGGCTCACTGCATTCTCTGCCTCCCGTGTTCAAGAAACCCACTTCACGGGTAGCTGGGATTACAGGCGCCTGCCACCACACCCGGCTAATTTTTTGTATATTTAGTAGAGACAGGGTTCTGCCATGTTGGCCAGGCTGGTCTCAAACTCCTGACCTCAGGTGATCTGCCCCACTTTGGCCTCCCAAAGTGCTGGGATTACAGGCGTGGGCCACTATACCTGGCCAAGTTTCCCCTTTTTATAAGGACACCTGTCATATTGGATCAGTGCCCGCCCTAATGACTGCATTTTAACTCAGTTTTCTTGATGAAGACCCTGTTTCCAAGTAAGGTCAGATTCTGAGGCAGCACTGGTCAGGACATCAACATATCTATTTTGGGGGGACAATTCAACCTAAAATACCCCTCAATTCAGTCTACAATGAAAGGTTGGTTCCGTTCTTGAATTCCCCAAATGGACGCAACACCCTTTACTTGAGTCACTGCTTCGTGCCGGAGTTTGTATTGTTCTCTGGGCCTTACAATAGCTCACTGTTCACCTACAGCGGGGCCCACCTGTGCCGTTAGTGTTCAGTGGTAAGGAGGCTCCCACTCCTCTGCTTCTGCCAGGGAGAGGAGGATGGGGAGAAGCAGGAGGCACACTTGAGCCACACTTGAGCATAGACTTGAGCCTCCCAGGTGCAGAGCATGGTCCCTGCCTCCCTTCCTGGAGTCACCGTTAGCTGGGGTGGGGGCCAGGCTACTTCCTGCAGTGGCTTGACAGGTCAAATGCAATGTGATGTGATAAACGTGGAATCCGAGACAGGGCCTTGGAAAATGGTTTTTTGTTGAGCATCAGGGCTGCCCTGTTAGTGTTCCTTTCATAATTTTATAACTGCCATAAAACTGTTTAGGGTCCCCACTGCATGGAGATCTTTTATATGAAACAGCTTTTCATAAACCCTGAATGAGTTCCAGATTCTCAGACTCGGAACTTCAGTTCCCCGCCTCCTTTTCTTTTAGTGGTAAAGTTTTTTTTTCTTTGTTGAGGTATAATTTACATAAAGTAAAATGCTGTTCTCTTAAGAGTACAGTTTGATAAGTTTTGACAAATATGTACAAAGAAACCCATGTAATTACCAACCAGATTCAAATATAGAATATTTCTATGACCCCAGAAAGTTCTTTTGGGACCCTTTCCAGTCAACCGCCCCACTCCACCCCAGAGGCAAAGAGAAATCTGAAGAAATCTGATTTCTATCACCATGGATTAGTATTTCTTTTAAAAAGAATTTCATATCAGTGAAATGCAGCATGTACGCCCTTGCATTTGGCATATTTCCTTCAATATAAAGTTTTTGAGATTCTTCCACGATTTTGCATAGATAATGGATTTTATTATCTTTTCTTACTAAGTATTCTTTTGTATGGATGGCCCACAGTTTGTTTCTTCTTTCTTCTGTTGATGGTCAGTTTTGGCTCTTATGAATAAAACTGTTACAGATGTTTTGTACAAGTGTTTTTGTGAACATGTATGTCGATTTCTGTTGGATGTATACCTAGGGGTACAATTGCTGGGTCGTAGGTTAGGTGTATATATATTAGGTGCTTGATTGTGGCCCCCTTAAAAGAGTGGAATCAGTCCCATTTGTAAGCCTCCTGTAGATTTTTCCAAAGCTTGTTAGCAATAGAATTGCATTACTTTGTTTTAAAAGCAAATAGTTCTCACTTTGGATTTGTGTAATTTTCTGCTTGTGCTGGGCCCTGGGCCTTTCTTAAAGGTGTTTTCTTCAGGACCTGCTCAACTGAGATTCCCTTAACATGCAGGGTCACTAGTGACTTTGAGTTCAAACTAGCAGGCCTATTCATGGTGATGAAAAAAGTGAACAGACTTGCTTACTAGCCACATAAGCTTTTAGTTGTCCAGTAAGAGATCTGTACATTTATTCATAATCTTTTTTTGAGATAGGGTCTTGTTCTGTCACTCAGGCTGTAGTGCAGTGGCACTATCATGGCTCACTGCAGCTCTGACCTCTCCAGACTCAGGTGATCCTCCACCTCAGCCTCCCGAGTAGCTGGGACTACAGGCATGCACCAACACACACAGCTAATTTTAGTATTTTTGGTAGAGACGGGGTTTCACCATGTTGCCCAGGCTGATTTTGAACTTCTGGGCTCTAGCGGCCTGCCTGCCTTGGCCCCCCAAAGTGCTAGGATTACAGGTGTGAGCCACCGTGCCTGGCCTAACCTTTTGTTTTTTGCTGATTATTTAGTCAATGCTATAGAATGTTGGGAATCCTTCTAGATAATTAAGACCCTGGGCTCCAGCATGCAGTCCGCCCATTGCAGATACCAGCAGGTCTCATGGCCTGGTTCTGGTATTCTCTGGTCACTCAGCAGAGCTGAGGTTACATGTGGGCCTTCCGATTGGGCTCTGGAGTTTCAATTAGTTGTTTCCTTTGTAGGTCCTGTTTTACTGCGTTCCTACTGTCTCTATGTTCTCCTGCTTGCCATCAACGGAGTGACAGAGTGTTTCACATTTGCTGCCATGAGCAAAGAGGAGGTCGACAGGTGGGTAACCTAGCAGGTTCACCTTTAATCATGGCCTTTAGCCAAAATGAAGGAACTTGTCAAGGTTTTTGCTTTTCATTCTGAACATGTATTTACAGATGGCTGTTTTAGAGGCAACACTTAGTCCACCAGTGTGTTTCTTCCCTGGGATCTCTAGCACTGGCAGGTGCAGTAAGTGCTCCCCACCGTAGGGCTGGGAGGCAGCAACTACTCTTTGCCTCCCTTTGTAGAGGGAGAAACATCAGCCCTGAAAGGTTATTTTAGTCCAAGTTTGCAGAGTCAGGCACCAGACAAGCTAGATTTCCATTCCTCCACCTCCTTGCTTACCCCGCAAGAGTGGTCCTCCAGTAAGTTGCTGAGGAACTTCTTCAAGATGCAGATTCCTACCCCTGATAATCTGATTGGTGGGTCTTTGAGAATCTCAGGGATTCTATGACAACTCTCCTGAGAAAAGCCCAAATGCACATATACATCTCACCATGATTTTTCTCAACTGCCGACTCCAGATCAGGATTCCTATCCTAGAATCCCTGCCAGTGGTTCTTAATACTGATTGTGAGTTAAAATCCCCGCTGGAACTTGTTAGAAATGCAGATTCTTGGCCACTCTCCTTTTGCCCCTTCCCCACCACACCATGATCTCAGCAGGCTCCTAGACATATGTGCGTTTTTTGAATGCTGAGTCCTCAGTGATTCTGCTATGAACCCTTCCTGGTTAAGTGCATTTGGCCTATACCCAGGATCATCCACCTCTTATGTACCAAATGCCAAAAAAAGTAAGGCAGCATCTTAAGGCAACACTAGAGGATGACACTGAGGAGAAGAGAGAAATCGTAGAAAGGGCAGGCGTAGATGATGGGGGGACTGGCCCTCATTTTCCCACTGCCTCTTGAAGCCAGGATCCCATGGGGGTTTTCATGCTGCCTCTATAATCTTGAGTGCTGGTGAGGATCCTCAGAGGCCTGGCCGTGGGGTAGGATGAGGAGGGAATGCCTCAGCTGGGGACTCTTCCCCTTTCTCTGTGTGCGTCTATTCCTGGGCTGGCTCATGTAAAAGCTTGGGGACTTTGTTTGCTACACAAGTGGCTGAGAACTAGAGTCCAGACCAGCAGGTTCAGTCCAGACTGATGGGATTCTCCTAGGAATTTCTGGTCCCCCTGCAGCCCAGCTGAATTAGAATCTTAGAAGGCTTGAGCCAGGGAATCTGTTTATTACACAGATCTACGCAATTCTGATTCTAGGGCTTTGGAAACTGCTGCCCCAGACCAGCTGTCACAGTAAAAATGACTGTGAGCACTGTGACCCAGGTCGCACTTAGGTGTGTGTGACTGAGACATGAGTTCACAAAGCAGGAATGCACATGACACACTGCTGCTTTCTGGTCTCTCTTCTATTTTGTTTTTCAAAACTGCCAAGCCATTACCCTCTAAATTGATTTCCCAAACTACTAGTAGGTCACAACCCATAGTTTTAAAATAGTGGTCTAGACATGGTTTTTGCCTCAGATAATTAAATTTATAGCTGTGGAGTAGAACTGCTTTGAATCTATCCTCTTCTTTCTCTCTGGATGAAAAAGTCTATTTCAATTTAGCTTTGAAAATATAATGTTTTTATTTGAAACCTGCTTCTAACGTTGAATACCTTAAAAATATAATTTGAAACATGCGAAATGAGGCACTGTGTCAGAATGGAAAGAGCGAGACTAGGAGTATATGTCCTTGAAGGGAATTTTGTTATGGCAACTTAAGTGTTAGTATTGAAGGGGTAAGTCAACACCAAACCCATTTAAAATGTTTTTATAAATTGCAACCAAATTGTGTGAAGGAATATGGATAGTGGCTGGTTGCGTTCTTTTCTCTTATATTGTATTGAACCAAAAGTCGTAGTGGAATTTTGATAGTATATAAACATCTGGAAAATTATTTTCCTGGTATTAGTCAAGACAGAGAATAAACAGAGCCCAGAGTACCTTCTAGTACAGTTCCCATGTGAGGAAACTCACCTTCCCGAAGAGTAAAATGTGACATTAAGTGCGGTTTTCAGACATGTATGAAACACAACAGCTCTATTTCTCTCTGGGCCCCTGGCTCCAGCACCTGTGGCCCTGGTCTGAGCACATGGAGCACCTGGGCTCATCACAGACATCAGCATTTTTTTTAACCCTGTGAATTTTAACAGACATAAAACTCTAGCAATGATTTTTATGGAATTGGATAGCTTAGTTAACTGTTAGAATCAATTATAATGACTTTACACTGAACATTTCAGATTCTGAATAGAAAAAAGCAGGCTTTTTACTTAATCCACTTCAGGTTAAGCAGTGTTTTTCTGAATAGAAATAGAGGATTTAGGCCAGGCATTGTGGCTCACACCTGTAATTCCAGCACTTTGGGAGGCCAAGGCAGGTGGATCACCTGAAATCAGTTCGAGACCAGCCTGGCCAACATGGTGAAACACCGTCTCTACTAAAAATACAAAAATAAGCGTGGTGTAGAGGTATGCGCCTGTAGTCCCAGCTACTCAGGAGGCTGAGGCACAGAATCACTTGAACCTAGGAGGTGGAGGTTGTGGTGAGCAGAGATCACGCCATTGCACTCCAGCCTGGGCA